GCATGTGGGTTATCATAATTTGAATTATAAGTATAATTTGGATCAAAATAACCTTAACAGTGTCCTGAAAGAAAGGGATCTTGGTGTAATAGTTGATCAGTCTAAAGCTATCCAAGTAGTGTGCTGTTGCTGGTGATATGGCAAATAGGATTTTAGGTTGTATGTACAGAAATATTGAATACAAGCCTAAAAAGGTTATAATTTCATTGTATAGCTCACTGGTTAGGCCACATATGGAGGATTGTGTTCAGTCTTGGGCTCCTCACATTAAGAAGGACAATGAATTGTTGAAAAGGGTTCAGAAGAGGGCCATTAGAATGTTGCCTGGAATAGAGGGGTTGTCATATGAGGAGAAGTTAAGATCCCTGAAATTGTTTTCTCTTGAAAAAAAGAAGAGTTAGAGGGGATTTGACTGAGGTGTTTAACATTGTTAAATGAATTGATAGTGTTGATGCATCTTCTTTTTTCATATTTAATAGTGAGAATGGTAGGACTAGGGGACACAAATATAAATTTTGGCAGGATAAGAGTCATCTTCAGCTAAGAGAGTTTTATTTTTTTAACAGGGTGGTTGGCTGTTGGAACATGTTACCTTCGGACATTGTAAAGGCAGCAAATTCAAGTGAGCTTAAGAGAAAGCTTGATAACTATATGAATGACAAGGTCTGGCTTTGAGGTTTTTTTTTTAATAGTTTTAGCTTAGTTTAGAGGATGGAACAGCCTAGATGGACCAGTAGGTCCCTTGTTGTCCTTAAACATTATGTTATGTTATGAAGCTACTGTTTAGTTAAAGTGAATTTTACAAGTTGCACTTGAAACACTAATATTTTACCTGTCAATAATGAAATATGATAAACATATTCCTCTATCTATTACAATCAGAACAAACTTTCCAAAGAGTAGACTGCCACAGGCATTTTTGGGGTAAAAGTTGTCAACAAAGTTTTAAGGTAGAATATGCTAAATCTGAAAACCAGTGCTGGAATCCTAGTATAGTAAATGATCAATATCCAAGTAGTGAAGGCAAATTATGAGTAGAGTACCATTTATTTTTTAATTTACAACTTCTTATTTAAACAATTTTAACTGTGATTCAAACCATGACACACACGATTCCACTAGGATATGAAATCTCTTGATAATAATATCCCTCTAAGATGTGCAGTCTTTTGATACTAACATCCCACTATCATGTGGAGTTTCTTGATAGTAACGTCTTGTCAAGATGAAGAGTATTTTTTTACTAACATACTATTAGGATGTGGAATTTGAATATAAAGTGTTTATCTGACCATTAGCTTGATTTGTTAGTTATGTCCATCCAAATCCCAGAAATCACAGTCAAATGTTTTTCTCATGAAAAAATATTAATGCAGTTAATATTCTGTAACAAATATCTATTAGGACGACACAATTTTTAAACTCCTTTCGTGCATGTTACCGCTTTACTTTTACAACTGCAGTTTTTGTTGTCACGTGATGCACTCACAGTTACAAATCTCAACTTTAAGAGCTGATATAGAAGAAACTGTGTATGGAATGTAAATGTTTTGTGCACACATTCAAAGTACACTGTATATAGGTTGTTTAAAAGTAATTCGAGCACATCCCAAGAAGTTGTTCTGGAGGTAACTGCTGTAAAAATGCCTTATTTCAAGATAAGCCATGCCCACTTGCAAAGTAGAAGCTGTGTTGCTTAGCAACAGTTTTAATTTGAATGGCATGCATATATCCAATAAAAAGAGCATTATTTGTGTTTTAAAATTCATATTTGAAAGGTTTAATATTTTAATAAAGTAATAAATGCTTTGCTCTGCAAGACTTATATTACTAAGAAAGTAAAAAAAAAGATTTTGCCAAAGTCTAAAGTATCTATGCAATTCATCCCCTTTCTATCGTCTGCGGGTATCCACTGACATATGTCTACATAAATAATAAATGGTAAAGAACATCCAAATTAATCAATTCGTGAAAATTTTACCTCCAAAAGTTACTTTCAGTTGTCTTAGAAACATCAAAATCCATCTGAAATTTTAGTTCACTTTTCCCTTCCTTAATCTTAGCTGGAATTAATCTGTCCATTCCTTTATGTACTACAAATGTAGATCAGAAGCAGCTTCAATTGAATGAAACATATCTTGTGCATTCAGTGTAGAGTCACTGATGTGTATATTATCTACATCAAAGTGAAACATCATATTTTTTGTTCAGGTTTGGAGGTATAAAGAAGCCAATTTTAGGCTCCACCAGTTAGATCAATATCCATTTTTATAATGCCTTCTCAGCTTATTATGTGACAAGCTTTTGACACAATTTAACAAGTTACTTTGATCTTGTTATGGTATACTGTACTACAGAGACCTATAAGTCTACTTTTTTCTCTCCACTTATACCATATATAATGCCTTATGTAATACTGAAAACAGGTATTTCATAACCTGACTGGTTATTTCTCATCACTCATAAGCAAATTCTCTTCTCCAAACAGTGAATTCAGCAACCTGTAAAGATTATCAGGTTAAGAATTTTATAGCATCCTTTGTGACCATTATGAATTTTTCCACATAGCTTCAATGCAACATTAATTAGTTACAGTCATCTTTATGTGACTTAAGTGTTAGCATTGTCAATGTTTCACCATTTTACTTTTCATTTTTATACGATTTCAACTAATATACTGATGACTGCAATTTGAATGCACAAATATATGGTTCCAAAAAGTGCCGAATTTTCTAATTGAAAGTTTAAGATTGACTGTAGTATTTCTTGGAATTCATAATACCTATTCCTCAAGCATAAGATAACTATTGTATTTTTTCTTTCCTGTTGCAATATTTGACTGCTTTGATTCACTTCTGCTCTTTTGAATGCACGAAAACACAATCTAGTATTTACCTTCTGCTGCAGTAAGGTTATTAGTTGGTTAACTTGATCCCCATTTTCCAATCCAGTACATATAAGTTAAGCACTTTAACATTGAGATCTAATGAGTTTAATGAACTGAAAATGCATTTTGGTTTACTCTCATGACAAAATATATAGAGAGATCAGTTACTGGGTCCTACACCTTTTTGGATTTATGTTTATACAGCAATTCCTGTCTGTCAATGTTGAATTCATTTATGAAAGTTGAATAAACTTCCAGTGCATGCATCTTATCTTGTACCAATATATATATATTTTTTTTGTTTTGCTGCAGCTTGTTTCAATGGTAAAATGCCCTTACAGGTCGTTTGTTCCATACACTTTCCTTACATCTCTTACAGATGATGCATAAATGTACATCTTCTGTTGATTTAGGACAACCTTACATATCAATCTGATTACTCTCAGAAATTCAAAAGAATATCTGAAAAACAAAACATAATTAAACCCTTCTTTACTCACTTGGAATAAGAAAATGTGATTTTTATATACAAAATTGATGAATTATTTTTGAAAAATGAAAGCCATTATATTTTTATTTATTTCTAATGTTTTCCTATCATCAATCACAAAAATAACTTTTAACTCAATCACATTTGGTTGGCTGCATTCCACCTTTAGGGAAAAATGACACTGTTAAAAAAACTATAGAAAATAAGCTTGTAATTATTCTTTTATACATTAAAAACAACAAATTTAGAGTTAAAATTTATTCATTAAAAATAGTTTTACTTATTTAACTTTATACATCAAAATTTTAAAAATCACAATCATACCCTTTGGCTGTACCAGCACTACTGCTGTTGGTGAGCTTATTGGCAAGTTAGGTGTACAGGAACTGGCTAAACCTGGTTTCATTGATGTTTCTGATGACTTTCTCAACACTAATAGAGCATGTCTTTTGCTACACAGATGACTTAGTACAGTTGCTTCACTCATATTCCCAATGTTTTAGAACACACAGTACAGAGGGACTGTGTCAATCATTCTGAGGATTTTTTGAAAACCAGAGTATTCCACCTGTCCAAACCGGGATTCGTTGAAAAGACACTTGCCTGGCAGTGTCCTCACCTCCAAAACTTCCTTTTCTGATCATAATTGCATAGTTTCTTGGACAATGCAAATGCACATTCCCAAACTACCATTTTGTTCTATAGATGTCCGAAAGGGGGATCACAGAAATGATGATCCCAATAATCATATTAAATGTGCTAATAACATGTATTTATTTCAATATGGGAGAATTTCCGTGACTTTTCCAAAACCCTGAGGTAAAATCCAGTTTTTTCATAACTTTTCAGACTCTGGAAATTTTATCTGCAATATTCCATAATTTTCCAAAACCCATACGAACCCTGATTTTCAAAAGCTTGTTCTGTCTATACGAGATGATATGTATCACTGGATTTATTCATAAATACTTTTTTTTTTCTGTACCTATCTGAGAAGTAATTGACATAAAAAATATACTCCAATTAATATATAGTGTTGACACATTAGTGAACACAGTCTTAAGAATTATAAGGTGGTAAGAATATTAGATGTTAGATATAATCAACCACATTTGTCACTGTTTTTGTGAAAACTTTTAGATTTTACATGACATTGGCATTTTTAGGCCAAAAACTGACATCCATTCTCTGTGACACAAAGTAGTTTTCTACTATTCTTCAACCACATTTTGCATATACATATTATTACCATAAAACAATGATATAGTTATCTTAAACAATCATCTTTATTGTACAGGAATCAAATGTATAATATTACTCTCTGTAAACTGTTGTCCACAGATTCCAAGGTTTTATTCACAACCTCTGATGAGATCTGCTCTCCATTTCTAGGTATTTCTAAAGCTGCCATCTGCCAAGTAATCACATAATAAAATTACATAACTGTTTTGTAATTGAAACACATATACAAAAAAAAATAGATTGAGAGGATTAAAAAGAATAATTTAATGCAAGTTATAAAAACAACTTAAAAGCATTTTGTTTGTACATCACCAATTATGATTTCCTAATCATGAAAGAATTTTAAAATTCTCCATATTACTACAAAAATATATCAATGTTAGACTAAACAAAATAATTATTTCAGATCTCAAATCCGATACATTTACAAAAAGTAAATATCACTTAAATTTGCTGGTTCCAAACACAAACTTTACGTCATTATAGTTTCTTAACGATGGCTTCTGGGCTAGTGTTAATATACATTTGTAAAACAACAGAATATTGACTGGACTAACTAAAATCCAACAATAATTGAGAAAGGGAAACACAGTATGTGTGTGTGTGATACATATATATATATATATACATATGTGTATGCAGATATATAGTGATTAGGAATCTGGTGACACCTCATTAGCCTATAGGCTAGGTATCTGATGCTCAATTTTTAGTCAGTATACTAGATAACCATTATTGCTGGCTGTACAATAGGGAAGTGCAGAATAGAGTAGATATTTAGCATCAGTTTTAATATGTTATTAATATGGTAAACTGTGAATCAATTTCACACAGTGAATTTGAAGAATTACATAAAAGCCTAAATATTTTCAAGTTAAATAATATCTGTTTCAAAGTTAAGTACAATTTTCCCTATAGCAAAACAGGATTAACCTATATTGATAGCTTGTAAATCCATTTGTTACACTTGACTATATTGTTTGAAAGTATTATGTAGAAACTAATGCCACAAAAACATATTTTTGCTGGCTATTTAGTCTATTTTGCACATACCTAGCCAGCTTACATGCTTAAAGAGCTATTGTCATCTGTCTAGCCTCTCTCCACACACACTTACATATCACCTACATTAAAAACATTTTTAACAGACACAAAAATCAAGACAGCTTTCAATATATGAAGAAATACAACTGCAAAATATATACATGTAAAACTTGAAACCCTTACTGCTGCATAAATGTATAAAAATTGCATTTAAATAATTCACAGATTATACTAGTCAACTATCTCAAACATGTTTGTATATAAAAACTTCATTGTAAACTGTTATACTTAAAACTTTTGAGCTGTTGCCTTTACTAAAGTGTAAAAACGATTACCTCTAATGAAAAAAAATGAAGCCAAAAGAACATTTGCATCCTATAAAATCTCTAGTATAATAAACTATGTTGAATATAGCATATATAGAATACACAGACTGAGTTTTTTAATACATACCTCTAAAGCACATATGCCAAAAGAAAAGATATCTACTGCTGGAGTCAGAGGTGTTGCATTAGACACTGTGGAGATAAATAAACACAGCTTATAGTAGCTATGAATATATTTTAAATTGACATCAAGTTTCTGATCACAAATACTGTATTGACACTTTCCACATTTAATAAAACCTTTCCTAATGGCAAGTGTATCATTGTTTTATAACAAATATCTTAAGAAAAATATTTTGGGATTTTAATTCTGACACAGACTGTTTTTTGTAAAGCTTTAACTGGCTTAATCTAAATAATTTTATTAAATAAGAAAAGACTATAAAGAATTTTAAATCATAAACATGTAACTACTAACCATTATCAGACTAGAGGTCTTGCAGTCAAACTAAAATTCATATTTTGGATAGAAACTAGATGAAATATGGTGTTAAACTAAAAGGAAAACAACATAATCATACATGGTATTACACATTAAAAGCTGCAGAGAAACTACATAAAATGTGATGTCACAGTACCATATACTAAAACTGTTAGAACACTAAAAACTACAAACACAATAAGGTGAAGTTATATGTAAAAACACTATAGATTATGAAATAATTAGACTAAATTTTGTGGTACTACAAGCTATAAATTATTCATGTTACTGGAAAAAAAATCCAATTTTTAATAGCCAATATTATCAACGATGTTTTAAAAATCATAAAATTTAAATAATTTAATTTATTTAAGAAAAGTATAAATCTATGTTAATTTGAAATCTGAGATAATTTAGACCATTTCCTACTTTCAAAATATGAAAAAATATTACTCTACATAGATTTCAAAGAAGAAAACCTATAAAGTTATTTCAGAATGAAACAAATTACATAACTTACATAAAAGTGTAGTTTGGAATTATTTTGTTGATTTTATTTAGTTTATTGCAAGTTATTTTCTTCCTAATTATTTTTAAGCAACTGTATATATTTTATAGTTATTTCTATTTTATAGAAGTTTAATTGCTTTTTATATTATTAGCTTACTTTTAGTGTGAACCATAATTTTTAATCCATGCTTGCATTTCTAAATCAAACTTCTATATATAAAATTTTCTCCTACTTTCAGTTTGAAATCTGTATAAACATATAAAAATAAAAAAATAGGTGTTCATTTTCTTAAGATACCATTGAAACTGCTACATGTGTACACCCATAAACTCATTGTTTAAGAAACTGTATAAGAGATATGAAATTCAGAAATCTATATAATTCACTCAAAGTTAACCTCTGGTCATACCAATCTCATAGATTTAAAATAACTTTCACTAGAGACATTATTTAAAGTTGTAAACAAAGTTTTTATATCAATGCATCACTTACTGTAGACAGATTGATTTCCATATTAAGATTTATGAAAAAACTTATTAATAAATGTAACTGAAATACTGTTACATATATAACATAAATTTACTTGAATACTATCTCTTTTTTCATTTTCCTAGCAAAAAAGAAACCAGAACAGGACATAATATACTCCACTGCCATAACAAATACTTACTGCCATATTCTGGAGCAATATAATGTGTGTTAGCAATGTCCTGTCGACAAGTCTTCACATGATAGTGAATGGCATCTGGAGCAACTGTGCAGGAAAAAAATATGAAATTCAGAAAAGGGAAGTCAAATTCAATAAAGTAAAATAATATTAGTGCACATTTCAAGAAAACAAATAAAATATCAGTTTTATAATACAAATAATTTAGATTTTCAGAAGGTAGAGATATATTTAAAAACAAAATTTTAAAACAAATTCAATGAAACAAAATAAATTACATGCATATAAATAACATTCAAATAGACACATGCATAGATATCTATTGAATACATACTACCCTACATACTATAATTATTTGCAAATCCAAATAAAGAGAAGAAAAAATGTTATAGTGTGAATGTACTGTAATTAGAAATTGGCAATTTAATTAATTAATTACCTATCAGCATCTATTACACCAATTAGTGTCATATAAACTAATCAATTAATTAAATTTAATGTTTCCAATTATTACTACTTTTGATTATTCCAACTATCCAGGTAATTAAAATATTGCTACTATATTTGTTTGCTGCCAATAACAAAGCTGTATAATGGTCTATAATAAATGAGTTGCTTTTATTTTTACTCGGGTTGTTCTGCCTTGATAATTTTGGTGGAGAGGGGCGCATGATTCAGCATTCTTCGATTTAACTTTATTGCCAACAGACTTGCTCATCCTGTCTTCATTATGGCAAACCTACCAAAGCTATGGGCCACTTTCACTAATTTTAAATTGCTGACTAAAGGGAAGGCAACTAACTAGTTGGCAAAACTTGGCACTAAATTTTTATTTTTGCTTGTATATGCCATGATTTGAGGAACACTGTAATTACAGAGTATTTTCACAAGGAGACAATTAAGCATTGTAGTGTTTATAAAGCTTAGAAAGTAAACACTGAATAATAATGTAACAGTTTAATTAAGTTAACATTTTCAATATAATTGGATTTTTCTAGTAACTATATATACATCTAGGTGTAAAAAAATAGTTTTCAAGTGTTACAAAACTTACCAGATCCAATTTTTACTAAGCCATTATGCTGGATGAAAATTGTGTCACAAGTCAAGTTACCATGAATAATAGGAGGTGTGCAGGAGTGGAGGTATCTTTAAATATCAGAAAAATATTACACACTCATTTATGAAACTCATTTATCAGCACAATGTCAAACAACGAAATTAATGCATTTTTCTCTTTCAAACGTAGCCTACATGTTGACTTGTTACATACTAATACATCAGTCTTATTGTGTGAGTCACAAAAATACTTATGATATCTATTTCTTCACAATATGAAATGTTTGAGAATGATTAAAATTATAATTTTCTGATACTGAAAATGTATTTCCGAAAGGTAGTTACCCCTCTCACATAAATAGCTATTCTCGTTCAGTGCTACCCTCTATATGTAAACATTTAAAACTGTTCACATGTCTTGTACATTCAGGTTCAAACAGGTCCAGTGAGTCAACATTACTAAGTAATTACACAAAAATGACTTTTATACGAGACTGAGTTCAAACCCTATTACATTATTGAGAGTATTTTTTTTCTAGTTTTAAATATTTCTATTAATTCCTTTCTGTTGTGTTGATGGAAGAAATTGGGTTTGCCAGTGATTTTTTGATTGATTGAAATTTTGTGATAATTTAATGGTAAAATCACTCAATATAGAAGATTAGATGAAACTATTACCCTGCCAGCTGTAAGAGATAAGCTTACACACCTAGTTGGATATATGTCAGCAATTCATCTTTCTATGGAATTTTTTTTCAACAAAATCACAGCCTGAGCATGGGCAATCCACTGCTCCCTCTCTTTTGTAATATTTTACAGATGACTTTAAAAATGGATTTGATGAAAAACTTGATCTCTATGTACAATATGTTGATAATAAGGTCAAACACCTTTATACAATGTTTTAGTTCTATGATGCAAAAATGGCAAGTTACATACAGAAAGTTATCAAAAATCAGAAACTGTGAGCATCTTCCAGGAAAATAAATCCATACAACTGTATTCTAAGAAAATCAAAACTTAAAAATGTTGCTATTTCCTAATAATTTAAACTGACCTTAATAACTAATATGTCCAAAAAATAAAAAAACTTAAAAGTGGACCAGATACAAAAGACAAGTTAACTGATGACACTGATATAACTGAAGGCCTTTTACCCTATTACCATTTGATATCAAACAAAATACACACTGCTTTAACCCTTTCAACCAGGGCGCAGTCCCTGCGGCTGACCTCATAACCATTTTGTGCTTGTTATTGTTTTCATGCTGTAACTTTTAAATTAGTAAGTGAATATTAATGAAATTTGGCAGATTATCAGTAAACACTACAATGCTTTCATATGCAAAATATCAATTGTTTTTATTAAGTCTTAAGGTTTGTAAAGCAATGTTTTTCTCATATTTTTTTTTCTTTTTGTATGTTGCCTATTTATCATGCAAAGTAATATTCATTTTAAGATTAAAAATACTTTCATGAATCAGAAAATTTTGAAATTTCACATGCAAATTCTTTATGATGTCTGGACAGTTATCAAACATTTCTTAAGAAAAAACTTTATATTTTATCTGTTATATTCAGTAATTAATCTCTGTATGGGTTCGGTAGATTTGACCGATTTTGCAACCACCATAAAAATTAGGAAATAAACATAAATTATGCCTCTTTAATTCTAGAATGAACACAAATTATAACACGAAAATATAAATGTTTAGACGAAATAGCTTAAATCTCATAACATTATACATTTATATATATTTATTATTTTTATTATATTGATCTTTCACCCACAAGTTATGATGACATGGCTCACGTTACCGTATCAAATAACATAAAGGTGTCCTTTGATCTGTACAAAGTAATTTGTCTTGGCTGTGTTTTTGTCGACTAGTATTTTGTAAAATACAGTCATATTTCAATTATTATACGTTATATATGTATATAGATTATTGCTATTTTGAAATAAGTTCTTAAAGTTATTTTTCCTAAAACATAAAACAGTAAATAAAGAAGTGAAGCAAACAATTACCTCTTCTAGTTATGACCTTTGTACTCAGTTGCTACTTGACTTAGGTTGCTAAGCCTTTAAAAATTTTGCACATGGAGGATATGAAACAAAATATTTTTTTTAGCTTTTATGTATACATTTGAACGACTAAAAAAATCATAAGTTACTATATCAATACCATAGAATTTTAATATAATTTATCAAGCTTTGTAACTAAGCTTTATTTGGGTCTAAAAAAAGTATGAAATTTCGAGCACACTAAAGACATAACCTACCTCATTGAAATCTTGATTAAAAAGAAAGAAATGGTGGAAGGAATGTTAGAAAGGCTGAGAAAACCACTAGGGGGGACATTCTGAGCTTCCAATTGGTTACTCGTGTCATATATAGAAATAAGTGTATACAAGGGAGTGTTTCCAAAAATGGAATGGGGTGGGTGGGGTGTCAATGTGTTTGATTTATTATGAGAGCAATATCTTAGCAAATAGAAAAATAAGACCTTCTTATTTTATATTCTAGCTTGTCAATATCCATAATTTGAGTTTCTAATTCATATGAAACTATTGACTTATCATTTTGACTTCAGAAACATCTAATTTGAACCAGTGCTGCATTCAACATACCACA